AAATCGATGACGTAGCGAATCTCTGAAGTAAACTACAGCTCCATCAGACGTACTATAAGTTACGCGAGGCAATTTTTCCAGGAGAGATAGGGTCGCGTTGGGTCTCGCTAATGGCAGTTGGCTCCCTGCTATATTTTTGTCTCGTACAAAAAGTTCTCGTGGAAAATTACACATGCGAACACAGGACGTTCCTATATATGGTGGATCTCGACTGACATATTAAGCAGAATTGGGTACCAAGATAAATATTGCGTCGCATTTGGGCGTCCAAATCTCTCTTTCATTCTGATTCTCCAGTTTGAAGGAAGAAAAGCAATGACTCGAGAGAAAATTTGAGTGATCTTGATTTGAAATAGAACTGAATTGATAAAGTCATGCGATACATTAATCATCATAAAATTAAACAAATATAGAAAATATATAGCTAAGTAAGTTCTTGATGGCGCATTTTTAATGTTAAAAGTAGCAGTGTGTTGCAATTCACAGATTTAAACGACTTTTTTACAATTAAATAACATAAAATTAAATAAAACTCAGTCGTCTTTTTACTAATACCAAATAGCGAGATATAAGGTTCGGTATGACTTTGTTTTCGAATTATTATGTAGAAATCAAACAGAATTGCAGAATGCATTCGTCAAAATATTGGTTGTTTACCCATTTCTGCTTTGTTCAACAGTGGAAGAGGATGCCACGGGATCATAGTGCCATTACTCTTGAAACTCCTAAGATCGCACGTAACTCCGCGAAGTATAATAAATACGCTTTGCATATATTTACAAGCAAGTCCGTGGAGTTACGGCTATAACTACAGCAATTTTATGGAGGCAAAAAGGTTATTGGAAAATTGAACTTTCGATTTCTATGCGTTATAATATTAAATTTAAAACATTATTTAGCCTTTATTGGTTTTAAATGTAAAATTATAATGCAAAATGTATATTTATTTTTCATCTTGTTCCGCTATCCGGGAAATTTACTTTGCATTACTTTAGGGAGAAGTTCGCTGTGAAAGATAGCGTATAAGAAACAACGCTAACAGCAACTTGCAAAAAGATCACATTTCTTCGTATCCGTCGAGCAAATTTGCAATATTGAATTTCCCACGAGATTTTATGTCAACAATTTGTAAAATTATTGCATAAAGCTTCCCGCAAATTTCCGTTGTAAAATATATGATTCCAAAGTTTCTTATGGGAAGGAGGAGAGAGAGCGTATATATTTTTATAAATACGAAAAAATCAGTAATGAAAAACAAATATATAATTTCTTTAATAATTCGAAAAGACGCTCCATGTTGTGCTTCTCCAGAAATAAGCAAGATAATCGAAAGTTCAGTAACAAAACTATATATTTTCTGCCTGGTAACCATCGAGTTTCCCAGCCCATTCTCATCCCGACGAACTTCGATCAGTCGAGGCCACCATCAACGCCCCTCACGAGTAGAATGTTGTCACGGCGCAAGCGTCCGGACGTTCCGTGTCGATTACGAGAGACTCACCTCTTCGCACGACATGAACGAATTCGGCCAAAATCAATTCTAACGGCGCGTGTGAGTGAGAAAATTGCTTTCCCCGAGCACGAGGAACGCTCTAACGAAGCTACGAGGTCATCAGACTCGACGTATCCTTCATCGACGTGTCCACAACACATGCCCTTTATTTCTTTCTTAGAAAGAGACGGACAGATGATAATTCAAAACATTGACAGTCTCTAGATTCCTCCTCGAGACATTTAGCACCGGGAGAGGCATAAGTTCTTCCCTTTCCCCTTCTCCGACTTCTCGTGCATGACCTCCTCACGCATCACAAGTGCATTAGAATTTCACGGATCACAAGAACGCGTCAGGCACACATCGTCGAAATCCGCGCGGCCACTCGCGTCGACGATCCCAGTGCTGACCCGGAGTCATAGGATCGAGGCGCGAATCGTCGCGGGACCAAACGCGGCTTGCTGTCATCATGAACACCTGTACGCCTCCGGCGTGCGGTGTATCGCAGCCGGAACGCGTTGCGTCGTCACGTCGCTGATCCACGACGTCGCCGTCGTCGTCGGGACGACGTTCGCTGCCGCGATCAGCAGCCGATCCGCCTCCGCGCTCAATTCGCTTCGACTGTTCGTCGAGGCAGGCCAGCTGATGATTAACTCCCGCCAGCCGGGTATGCCGGTCAGGTAGGCTAGAAGGAGTAGTATGAGGCACCCACCTAGGCACCCGCTGCCTCCGGCCTCGAAGGCGGCGCAACCGCTCGTCTGGTTCTCCGTGGTCGGCCTTTGTGCCTCCGGATGAGAGACTCGGTCCATCTGCTGACTACCCGTCCACGGATCACCCTCGGTGTCCACGGCATTGTGTCGGACGTCCGAAGGCGCATTGTTATGAATTTCCTGATGAACGACTGGCGGTAGCGGTTTGTCCTTATCGAGCTCGTCGTCTATTTCTACGGCGGTGTCCGTGCCGAAGAACACAAGCTTCCACTCTTCCAGTTCGTCTGAAACAATATCGCCGATTACATTAACGCAATTCGAATAATATTTAACGATCACTTTATATCAAGAGATTATATGAAAAATGATCCAATCATACATCTTTACAAGCATTAGAGACTGAAAAAAGTTGCAGTATCTGTAAAACAGAACGGTGCAGAAGAAGAAAACTCGAGTAATTTCATAAAGTCAAAGTTATTTCTTTTTATAACTTCTTTCTTCGTATATTTAATATTTGAAAATTCTTCTGTCTCTAGTACTCTTTAAATTATTATAATTTTTAACAATAAATAACGTAATATGCAGTATGAAAATAGAGAATATAAAATATGCAGACATGCCAAAATTTTATCTTTGCTCTTTTATCTTTGTTCAAGCAAAGAATGAACTGAAAATAACGCATTTGTCGTGTAGTGATTATACAATAATAACTATCTACTGTTATTTTTGCATTAAATACATACATGCAGACAGGATTGCAATCAACTCTAGTGGATTTTACATGATATACGTACCGTGATTCCTGAGAATGAAAATGCAAACTTGCAAACCTCGCAGTATCATTTTCACGGGCGAGATATATGGAATAAAGCTCAAATTATCTATCATATAATATAAAAATATGAATAATGTTGTGTGTCTAATATTATACCAAAGTGTGCATTTTTCAAGCAAACTTTATGAAATATTCATAATAATAAGTCATCGCGGAGCAGCAAAATCACAATTATTGAGCGTTGAATTTTTTACCGATTTCATCTCTCGATTTCATCTCTCGATGCGCTTTTCACTTTTCGCAAATTATTCCGCGACCTTGCTCGCAATTATAACGTAAAATATTGTATTTCGCAGAGATGAAGGCGGTAAAATGGAAGGCTTCACGAGATAGACGAGACGCGAGCGAGACAGCGGAAGAGGTGGCGGGGGACGTCGACGGTGTCGTCCGGGAAATTAATAAAACGTCGTGAGACTGTAGGGAAAATTTCGCCTTAAGCTCGCTCGGGAACAACGTCCGCGAGGAAAAGGGATCGCGCGCGGAAGATAGGGTCGAGTCTTGATTAAATTAGAATTAAAAATAACCGAGTAATCAGCGATGACTCTCCGTACACATTTACTTAGTGAAATGTGTACGTCGGAATTAAATGCAAAGTACTTTGCAACGAGAAGATAGTAAAAACTCGTGGGCGATTATCGTTTTTTACTTCCGGTAAGATACACCTGTAAGTTTTTCTTCCAAAGCTGTGGGCAAAACGGAAAAGCGAGCTAAACGTAAGCTAATTTTAAATACCATATCTTCTCAGCCAAGACACTAAGGGCTGAGAAAATTATGTGATATTCTGCTGCTTGGTTATATTTCACAATATAATCAAGATTTGTACATTAATTAAGAAATAAATTTAAAAATTTAATTAAAAATAAAAATATTGTTTATTTATAACTGTAAACTTTAATTTCATTTTGCTACTTTTTGCTTCGTTTATACAATAAATTCATTCTCTATTCATTCTCTGAGAAATAAATTAATTTTTTTAAACATTAATATTATATCTTGTTTACATAGAAAGTTCAGAAAAATTAAAATGTACATATAGCTTCAGGTAAAGTCAGTTTTGTAGGAAAAGTTAAATTTCACAGGCAGAGGCGACGGGAGACTAGAAATCAAAGCGGTGGAAAAGTGGATCTAATTTGTGACGGTACTACTCCCGTGTATGTTTTTTTAATCCAACGTAAACTCCCGGTTATATTAACTAAGGTCGCCGGTTATTACAAAGTTGTCGTTAAAACATCGCCGTTACGAGTGTGTGCAATGGCTGTAAAATGTTAAGTGTCGCGACGCTCGGACATCGTCTCGTTTTATGAGAAATATTGAGAAAATAACTTATAACCGAGAGTTGAGGGAAATGAGGGAGAAGATAGAGCAAAATGAAAGGGGAAAACAAAAATGTCAGAAGTCGATCAGGACAACGTCGTGGGCTATTCGTAAGACAATGGGAACGTAAGGGCATTGTGCTCGAAGGGTCGTTAGCGCGCGCCATTGAAGAAGCGAGCCTCGATAATAATGCCTTAAAAGCGGAAACCATTTTGCGGAGCAAGCGAGCGAAAAAATTTCCAATCATGGTGGAAATTATTTAGCAGTGATGATGGACGAGAAGAGCCGCTCGATCTCCATCATGGTGAAGGTTCGTTCGCTCTCGGCTTTTCCATTTCACGGCACGCATTAGCGGTTTTCAATGTCGCCCGCGTCGTTGCGTTTCACTAAATTTTGAGCGATTTGCGGTTACGCGGTGATCTAGAATTCGAAAATTTGAAAAGGAGATAACAAGCGCAACGTGCCATCATTATTTACGATATTTGCGTCGTTGTTGTTTTTAAAAAAGTAATTTTTATTTATTAATATGTTACATGATATTGTTCAAGTCAAAATATAATATTATCAGAATGGTAAATTATGCTTCAAAACAAATAAAATAAAAAGTACAATATAATATTCCTAAAAATATAGTTTATAAAAATATAAAAAATAAAAATATTAAAAAAAATATTAAAAAATATAGTTTTTCTTAACTATTTTATCGGTTATTTTCTTATGGCAAATCATAAGGATAATCATATGGAAAACATAAAAATACTACAGATACAATTTAAAAGATACAATAATTTTTTATTCGTATTTTATAGATAAAAGATAAAGAGCAGGATGCACAATTTTCTTATACGTTAAACAATGATCTATATTCCGCTATATGTGAAGATAATAGGATACAAAGCGAAACATGCGGGCAATATATTAGATAACCGACGTATGCAGGATGCGTTCGAAGCTGCATATGAAACTCATCGATAACCAAGTCATTGAAAGTTTTGATTGAAGCTCATAGCGCACGTTACTGGTTTCGATAAGTTTTCCTATTATCGACCTACCGTTCACGCAAGAGGTTTTGATTGTAACTACAGGAAGAAGCGATGCAGGAAGCATCAACATAAGGAAAAACTCGACAAGGAAAAACTCCGACACAAAGAGTGACACAATTATGCAAACTCTTTAAATATAGACTATCTACGAGACTAATTTCTTGAAAATTTAAATATAAATTTAGTAAATTAATGGCAAATAATCTACAGTTTCAGAAAAGGGAATAATAAATTTTATAAAATATAATATATTGAATGATTGTCTTCAAAATACATAAAAAATTGACAATTTCATTAGTATGTGTAAAAACTATTAAATTCATTGATAAAAAGAAAATCTGAATAAAATAAAAAAAATATTTATTATATCAGGTGTATGTGCATTATTAAGCATGCAATAAGAAATATATAATTAACTTAATAAGATTACGATATTAATTCATTTAACGAGATATACAAGCCAGAGATATTATAGCAGAGATATTATAGCATACAAAAAATATTCCGCATAAAGTGATCCAACGCAAAAAAGAGACAAAATAAAATTCTGCAGAACATTGAGAATTCTCACTTTTATGTCAGGGAAAAACAAGATATGCGATATAAAGATAAGAAAAACTCCATTATACTTAGCAAAAGGTGTCAAGGGATCACTCCACGTGAAACATTCTAAATTTAAAGAAAAAAGAAGAGGTAGAAACAACGCGCGAAATAAGCTTATCTAAAACGTTGCATATTAATAGCCACGGATAATATATCCATGTACAAACGAAAGTAACGATGATTACGGTGTGGTCACAATCAGCGAAACAGCTAACACAAAAGAGAGAATACGAAAACCAAATTCCAGTGAATCCGTTTAATCTTCGGGGCTTTGCGCGATGCATCTCTACTTTCCACGCTTCGCGTGGGTGTGCGGGCGGATGCGTGGAAGCGAATGGGAAACGATCGGAAGCTGCGAAACGATCTTCTTTGTTGTCCCGTGGCATAAAATACCGCCGTTGGGAACAATAGCGCAGATAGATTGACGTTATTAGTCATCGCGATTATCTGTGCTGGTGACACTATTTTTTCTGAAGACACGTTTAATCAACTGCACGGTCTCTTTATAGATTATTAGATATAAAATATTAATACTTTAATGCCACGAATATCGAGTATTCGTAGAGATGACTTTACTTTAAAATAACAAAAATCAAATTATGCGTAAACAGTTGGTAAATTATGATCGATCAAAAAATGCAAAAAGTGATTTATATTTTATTACAATTGCAATTAAATTTTTTATTGTGATATCGAATTCAAATTAATTAAAATTAAAATTAATTGACTTTTAAAATACTACTTCAAATTCATCAATGATTTACTTTTATGCGAATGTTAAAGCTTCCGATCGTCGCCAGTGCATCTCGCCGTTTCTCATTCCAAAACGTTAGGTACCCTTGTCTAGATGCAGGTTCCTTGGATCAAATTGCTCATCCTGTAGCAGGTCGAGTCCTTTAGCCCTGGTAGCGAGTTGCTGATCGGCGCCGCGAGCTCCACCATAAACCGGATAGAGCTGCTGAATCTTCGGATATTGCTGAAATACCGCTGGAACCTTGTTAGTGGCCGCCTTCGCCGGCGGTTCCAATAAGATCAGTCCCGTTTGAAGGGGCGACGCGGTAACCACGTCGATAATTTTCTGTTTACTTGTCGTCGTGGCTTGGGTCTTCGTTGTCGTGATGGCTTGAGTTACAGTGCTAGTAATCGGGCTTGGTGTACTCCTGCCACGAGGCCTCGACGTGATTAAACGCATGTCACTGGCTACGTTATTGGGGCCTCTATTGATTCCAGTGAGACCCCGAAGAGTTTGAGCGGTAGGCTTGGGATTTGGTCGATTAGCCGACTTGCCGTTCTTGTGTTGACCGCGGGCCTTGCCCTTTCTCTGGGACTGTATCTGAGCGTTCACCACGTAGGGTGGACTCAGGCTACCGGATTTATCGGACTTGTGCTGTGCCTGCTTGCCCTTCGCTAGGGTGTTCTGGCTCTTTGGGATGGTCTCACGTGGCTTGACAAATGGTCGTCTAGGTATACTCATGCCGGCCGGATTGTAAAGAGCATACTCAGTTCGGTCGGGCAATGTCGCAGTGCCATAGAAAATAAGCGCCCATTCGTGCAGAGTAGCTCGTCCTGATCCGTGAATGCAACGGAAAAAAAGCGGACGTCATGATTAAGAGGAGACAATGGCATGTTTACCGACATGCTGAATGATGCAATATATAATATATCGGATCCGTATTATCCGTTAAAAGATTAAAGATCGATCGCATACTCGTAATTGAATGTCGATAATTCGAGAGAAATAATGCGCGTGGTCGTCCCTGAGAGGACGAGAACGCTTGAGGATAAATAAGGATATAGCTTGGGGGTCCTTGTTCGATGGCACGTAAGCACGTCTCGCGTTCAGAGACTCTCTCCCTACAAGATACGTTCACAGAATACTTGTGGCAGTATAAACACTGAGATGGTTTACCAGTGTCTCGAATATCCCCACCTAACCTAATCCTCCCCGTCTCCGGAAAGCAGCCGTGACGATGGATGTAGATGCGCTCCATGGTGATACAGGTCAGCGATGCATAAGCGCATAAGGAAGTTTACGTAACCATCGGTTTTGATGAGCCGACGCGGAAGCAGTTCAAAGTGGCTCTAACGCTTGCACCTTACTCGAGATCGGCCGCGTTCGTTGTTCCACAGCGAAATGCTTCGCTGCTATTTGCCGTTAAGGATAAGTAAGAGGGTTTACGGGAGGACTCCACGGCTCGAATCCGGCAATTATCCGCCTCTGGAGATAATGCACCTTCTTAGGCGATTGCGCGCGAATGGGTCTTATGGGGTAAGAGCTCTCTCGGTTGCCTTCTAGACACGAGCACGAGGCTACGGGAATACCGTGGATCTCGAAGGATCTCGCGGAGTTGAACATCAATTCGGCATCGGATTGCAGGATGCGCATGCAATGCTAGACATGTCTAAGCCATTCTGCTCGGATGTCACGCGTATGAATCGGTCAATCGTATGGTATCCTTTGTCGTATGGTTTATAATTGTTCGAGAAATAACGAAGATCGCGGATATTTCTTAATCCCCGTTTTGCATATTTTTTTATGCATATTATTCCCCGTGAACATGAATCAGAAATGCATGTTGAATTTCTTGTGGGCATTTTCGATTAGTAGATGTAACTGGCAGAGAATTTGGTAACCGTGACCTTACGAAGGTACTATTAAGACGCTTGGAAACTATTGTTACGACGAACAAGGTAGAATTCTATTTGAAATTTAAATCAAGCAAAGAACATCTCCGAATGCTGGAATTAATGCCGGCATAATCTACAAAGCTCTTTGTCTTTGATATTTCAATCTAAGATTTCACGAGCGTATAATGATCTTTACATAAATATCAGTTCGCAATATTTCAAGTAACGATTGAAAGAAATCCTATTCCTTAAAGAAGCTTTAAAAAAAGTTCAAAGAGAATCTTTATCATTGAGAACATTCAACAAATTCATAAATATATTGAACAATTTATCTAATTGATCACTTCAACAAATATGGTACTGATAAAATTGGAAAATTCTTGAATCTAGTTCATTAAATCTATAACAAATACAAATAGTTAAGATAGAAATGTAAATTAGAAAATTATGTAAATTAGAAAATTATATAAAAATGATGAATACAATTTTTTTAATGTTTTAATGTGATGATTTTGATTGATATTAATCCTGTTAAAAATTACATAATTGCTAAATAATTCTTTAATAATTAAGCAGATTAGTTTTAATGATAAATAGCTCAATTAATTAACTTTTAATTTAATTAAATTTAATTAAATTAGTTTAATTTGATTAGTAGTTAGTCATCAGTCAAAAAGATGTGAATAATTTCAATTAATATTGCGTTAATTAGTATCGCATATTGAATAATTCATCATTGTTAATTAGCCATTCTTTAATTATTATGCGATAATACGAATTACAAGAAAATGTAATCAACTTACCGAGATATCGACCCTCATTGTGAATTTCTAATTTCCAGGTGCCGTGCGGCCTTTCACCCCACGTATGCACTGACATGAATGGCCATTGGCTAAAACCGGCTTTCGAGATGTCATGCGGCCTTTTAGCAAGAAGAGTGCTTTTTGTTCCTTGAGGAGATGTTAGCTGTATCTGAAGATCCCCTCGTCTCGCTGCCATCAGCGATACTTTCGCCTGCGATAAGCATATTGATCTTTATATTATCATAAAGCATGTGTATTCTTCGTTACCAACATTTATTCAATTTGTTATACTTTTGTATAAATAAAAAATCAAGAAATTTTCAAATTAATGTTGCAATATTTTATGTATACATTTAACTCTGCTAGTTAGCAAGTGTAAAAAGGAAAAGAGAGTAAACAAGATTTTACGAGGTAATCTTACATCGTGTAACTAATAATTCTATAACAGTAATTAACTTAATTCATTTAATTTCTGTAATATGATCTGAACTAGATCTCGTAATTATGTTTCGCTGGCAGACGCAGTCATTAATATATTTTAAGTTAATTTAACGAGAATTAAATAGCTATTTAGCATGAGTTACAGTTTGCCTTAGTTTTCCAGTATAAAATGATGACAAATAAGTTGATTTATTCGAAAAGTGAATCAAATTCTACCGCTTCAACACTAACATTTCGTTCTCGAAATGTTATGCGGGTTTGTACTTCTCATAGTCAGTACGAAATCTGCTAATTAACGATGTCACTTATGAGTGACGTACTCAACTTACCTGAACATGCTCGAGGAAATTAACGCCGCTACACTCCTTGACATGTAAGTCGAGAACCAATTGGCTCTTTGGCGGTATTGTCCTAGAATGTGGATGAAATATAGGTTTAGCTCTTGCATAAAATTTTTTGTAGCTATTTTTGTAGCTATTTTTAAATAGATACACTTGTATCGTTTAAACAATTCGATCAATTATATATTGTTTATTTTACATAAATACTTTTATATCTTTCTGAACAAAATTTTTTGAATGCGCTTTTAGCAGTACAATTTGATACTTTTATAGTTAATTTATTTTGCAATTTTTAAAATAATAATATATTTCAAATATCATTATATTTATAAATATAAATAAGTAAACCATTATATCGATTATAATTTTTCTGAAGAATAATTATAAAAATTATAACATGCAACATTTTCTTTTTAATGGCTAGCAATGAAGTAAATATTAAACAGCGTTAATAATTTTTGATTTTTAATAAAACGAACTTTTCATCGTGAACGAAGGATTATCATACATAAAATAGAACATAGCCTTTATGTTTAGTAGTTTCAGAGTGCAATTTCAAAATAGCTACAGTTTAAATTATGTAAATGTGTGTAACAATTTGTTCGTATTTGTTATAATTCTTGACAATATAAATGGCACAATACATGTGTTTCCTGTGCAATTTCCGACAAGTAAAACTCGTTTGATGCTAGTCGACATGCTCGAGCCAATCCGTAATCTGAGAGCAACATGTGCATCGTCCCAAGAGACAGATAGCGATCTATTATTGCTGAAGTTAATCTCAATTTCCTCAAGCAGTTTTCTTAAGGCCAATGATTTTTAAAATAATTATCACATTTTTTTGTGTATTAATATTTTGAATAAAACACTGTCTGAATTTCTGATATTTATTTAATAGCATAACTTATGAGCGCTTACCTGCCTGTATGTGGCGCTGATACTTCACATTTGTGTTGTTCCGGGACGGTTCTCCACCTTCTTGCTAAGCGTACCATGGCAGTGGCGTCCATCAGCCCATAACCGAAACTATGGCTCACTGTTAAACAGAAATTTAATCGTAACATTAAAGTAATATTATTTATTAACTGCTTATTAATAAATTTTATTAACCAGACATATCTAGATTAAAATCCTGTATTCATTTATTAAATAATAAAATGATTAAAATATTCTAAAAAAAATTAATGTTAAGCGATTAGGTTATTATATTTTTTCTAGTAAGAGATTTGAAATTTTTATAGTCCTTTAACTGTCCTTATATTTTATTTATATAAGTAATAATTTCTTCTTTTTCATGGAATTTAATATCCTTGTAAATCCCTTTCTCATCTGTCAAGAATTTAATATTCTGCTCACCGTTTCTACCGACACCGTTGACTACCCAATCGGGGGCCTGCAGGTTCGCGGGTTTGGCAGTCCTAACGACGATATGTTGCATGTCCCTCCAGGTAAGATCCCTGTTTGCTTCTAAAGCGAGGGCGCATATGCCGGCCGCCAAAGGCGCCGATGCGGATGTACCAGTGTGGCTGCTGGTACAGTGATGATGCAGATCTGTAGTGACAACTTGCTTCTCGCCGGTAGAGCCCGAGCTGTACGTAGTGGCGAGGGTGGACGAACACGCCTCGCTATACCAGGGCACAAGACCATTCTCTGTTGCGCTACTGATCGATAGCGTCCAAATACTATTGGTATAGCCGTCACAATTGCAGTTATCATGGTCCCGGCCCCCGTTCCCTGATGCCCATACGAATATCGAACCCTTACCGTTGCGACCCTAATAATTAAAAGTTAATGAAAAATTTTTTTAACCCGCTAGAAGGAGATATTATACATATATGAGATCATGAAATAATTTGAAATAATTTTTTCCTAATGTATATGTAAAACGGTCTTTAAAAATATATATTTATATTTAGAAGATCATCATCATATGCGCTTGAGTAAATTCAAGCTGTAGAATTTAAACAGCGTAAACAAGCATATTCGGTGCTTTAAACTAAAATATATCTGGCTTTACCGGATAATACTCTAGATGCGTTGTTTTTTCACTGGTGCTTGGCTTTAAGACGTTCGAAACGCTTAAGGTACTTTAGAAGTTTGCATGTTAAAGCCGCTTTCTGTGCGTCCGTAGATATACAATGGTGGATGATTCGGTACGAAACCATTGTTAGAAAGTCGATGAGGCTGTTTAGCACTAATGGCTTTGTAAGATTCAGACTGAGTTCTGTGTCTTCGTAATGCTCTTACATTCTGTAGTAGTTCGGAAATTAGAAGAAGTATTTTGGCAATTAAGTTTCTAATCTTTGACAAAATCATATATTAAGTATTAGAAATTATGTATAACGCAGATATATGCCCAAATATATTTGAATGAAATTTTATAAAGTTTTTATAAAATTTTATAAAATTTTATAAAGTTTTAAAAAGTTATCTTTACTTAATTAATTATCGTGCAAAGAATCACAAGATTTAAATACTGATTTACGGGTGTCGTTATATCGTTTTTGCTTTTTAAAAATAACATAACTCAAAAAATAAAGTTCCTAAGAAATAAATTTTATATTTTAAATAATTAAGATTTTTTAATATTATTTTTAAATGCGACTTTAGTGTAATAATTAGTTATAGAGAAATAAAATATTATTTAGTTTCTCATTCGATATATTGAATTTTTATTTAAAATAATAATAAAAATCAAATAATAAAAATGAATTTTAAATAGCCTTAAAACTCATTTGATTTATCATTTTGACTTATGACAGCCTTCATGCAAAATTAAAAATTTTAGAAGCGAATTTTATATAATCTCAGTTGTTGTTTTACTGATAATAAAAAGATTCGTTTTTTTTTCGTTAAACAACTCAAAAATGATAATATTTTAGTTATGTCGTTGTTGTAGCACGTGAGCGATATTAAATAACAAATTTCTTTTCACAAATACATATTTTGAGATTATAGTATACTTTATAGTGACATATCATGAAATATATTTTTCAGTATTGTTTCTGAGATTATAAATCTCAACAGTCTTTATCAAAACTGAAGATCCGACTATTTCGTGATAAGACCAGGCGTCGGAAACTAAGGTATACTAGGCGTGACCACGAACTCTGAACTCTCTTTGAGACTCGATGTTAACTAATTCAGCAATATAGTGTTCGGGCCTTTGATCAGTAAAGCTATTTGATCGTAAAGTGATAAGGCATCCACCTGACTATCAGACAGTTAAATTCGATCTGTAAAACAATTGTTAACTGCATTAAAATTATTATACTATATATTTTATATTAAATTAATATTTTTTTAATTTCCTTTTTTGTAGATCATTAAAAAATTATAATAAAATAAATTAAGATAAAAAATATATTATTCATTGCTGAATCTTTTTGCCTTTAGAAAAAGAAATTATTATTTAAAGCAAGTAGAATATAAACTATTGTAAAAATTATTGTAAAAAAGATGAGATATGCATAGATTTATTAACTTAATAATAAGTTAGCATATGTATATCTTTTATACAATTCTATTGAATGTACAAATTCTACAGTTAGTTACTCCACTCTAAGAGAGATTATCGGACATGATAACAGGTTACATGATAACACTCAAAGAGAATTCCTAGTCTGTCCATATGTATTTGTCTTTGAATATAAGATAGTGTATAATATGACACAAAGGGAATTGTCGTACAGTTAGATACGATATGCGACTGTATGCAAAGTTAAACTACTGGAGTAACATAGTGATTTGACATATGCATTATTAATATTTTAGTTCAATATCAATAAAATATGAGTTTGTTGCATCTTTTAAAATAAAATATCAAACTTAGTGATATTGAAAATTGTATTGATAGGATTATATTCAAAAATTCTTTTTCAATCATGTTACATCTAATTTTGCTCTGCAGCATAATATTAAAATATTATATATTGCAAATAAATTTTAATTTTTACCTCTAAAAGCAAATCATAATAAATAAAATAAATATTTAATACATTATAGACGATATAATATTATGCAAATATAAATGATAATTCATATAAATGATTTACATCAATAACAAGTTGTAGTGCACAAATTTGATTAAATTAATAAAAAAAAAATACATTAAAAAAACGTGCAAGAAAAGTTTCTTGATGCTATATTATACAAATCTTTTAGCAATTTCTTATAATCTCGTTTCAAATCATAAAAAGTTTTATTCGAACTTGATTAACAAAAATCAGTTCGTGAGAGTACTCGATGTCGACTTTGAATTTCATTGCGCGAAATATCTTAAAGGATATCACAAGACGAAAGCAATCTCAAGGAGAATAACGCCATTTAATATCGCTGTCGAGAAGTGATTTAAACGGTGCTCATTTCACTACTCGTTGATCCTATTTACGAATGTTCGCTAGATGTAAGTAATATAATACGTATTCCTTTATTACATTTAGCATAATTGTAACAAAAAAACTATAATTATTGCATATCTTATTTTGCTAAATTTGCAAATAATATGCATTTTATATCAAAAATATAATATCAAAAATTTGTTTATTGTCTTTAAAAAATACAATTATATAATTATCTGTTCAATGACATTTTCCACTTATTCTTTCGATTTAATAATTAATAATAATTTTTATCATCAATCGACTTTATAACATATATAAGTAGAAATGAAACATTTTATTACCTGGAATATTATAGCCATCTTTTATAAACATTAGCAAAAGTACACCTGTGGCCATTTCAATATGTTTCGCTCGATAGTTAGCATATATCTCAATGAGTTTTATAGTACAATGAGTTACAGTACTGATATTTGCATATGATTTACGTCGCTAGTAATAAGTTTGAAATGATATGTTTTAGCACAGCTCAAGCTGGCTAGTCGCTTAAAAGCATCCAATTAGAAACTTTCTGACGACTGACCTCTCAAGCGAATCGATATTAAAGCGGGTCTAACTCAGAGAGTTCTTCGTCATTCCCGTAATTGAATTATATTTGTCGTCGTTTCGTTTAAGATTTCGTCAACGACTTCAATGCCAAGGTCAAAAAAAATAAATCGTTCCAGCTCCGGACATTGAAACGACTAATGCAATGACAGTTCAAAAAATATCATTAATATTATTATATATTTGCAGTATTTTATGAGTTTCAGTAAATAATAATATTTAAATGTTATAAAATGATTGAATATTTAAAAAGCGCTATTAAATTTCGTTAACTGTTAACGCAATTAATATATAAATTGACATCTTTAACATTGTATTAAAAAATTATATCATATGTAGCTATTTTAAAAATGAGTTTTATAGAAAGTAATTTTAATTATGAAAAGGCCATAAGAAACTTTCAGGATTTCAAATTACTCGTAGCTATGATTATTAAAATAGAACACAGACTCATGTGAATCAAGCAGATAATAGAAATGGGCTATACGGAGAATCTTTAGCGGAGTTTCTCGACGGTATCTGATGGCTCCGTTTTAATGCTAGATGTCTGCGCTTTAATGATCGTTACTTGAAGTAGGGACCTTCTCAATGCTAAAGTTCGCCATCGCGATAAAGGAACATTGCGAACGCGATCGAAGAGCCGAGGCGTATACATCGTGATGACAATGGCCATTGTCGCCACTGAAACTCGGAAGATTTCAAGGAATGCTTCTGCGTGATACATTTGTGTGAATTTCATTTCATTCCGCGATATTATTCGGACACGAATGTACGAATCGCGTTAATGACGAATGAGCGAATTTTGCCTTTGAAACGATCAAGATTTGCAGGATTGCAATAAACGCACTTTCGTGCATTTTTCACACAATAATATTTCATATAACTTTGTAATAATATGATAATTAACTAAAAAAATAAAATTATTGGATTCAAAATTTCAATTTTCCTACTTTTTACTAAAATACATTGCACGTTATTAAATCTTCAGTCAAAAAATAAAAAGTAAAAACAATCTTAGCGTAATTGTTTTTAAAGAGACGTAACTTTTCTAACACTCTATTTAAAAAAAATATATAAATAGAAAATATATGCAAAATGCAATTATATTATTGAAAAAATATCTTATAATTGGATACGTACTTCTGATTACCTTAAATAAAAATAATTAAAAATCAATTTTTAATTTTCTTTGTATTTGTTAAGTGAGAAATCCATAATAGTTACGGCACTTGAAACAATTACTTTTTGTCTTATTTAATTTCACAAAGAAAGATATCATTGAATTAAATGTATTCCTTTCGCGCAAGATATAAGAAATCAGGAAGGTGATAATTGAATTGGAGTTCGTCGACTTTAATCAGGACAGCTATTTAATTCCTTTTTTACTCTCAATAAAACATAGATAGCTATGTCGATGAGAGTAATTGCAAAGGAATTTCGATCAGTAGAAAAATAGTAGAAAATCGAAATGTAACGATCTCCAATTTAATGCAAACAATTTCTCGTACCGGCACTGCGGTACTTCAGCGTTGCATTAAATAGTTTATCGATCCGCATTTATTATCTTTGCAAATATAAAACTCTTCTAAGAATGCATCCTTAAACAGAATCTTCAATTAAAATTCAAAATAAATTTTCAATTAAACGTCATCAATTATCTTAATTAACAGGATTAAATATAGCTTGAAAATTTCATTTGGATTCTACAGTGAATACTTCTTCATGCAAGATATTAATAGAGCATAAGCGTTCTAATGCAAAGCTTTAAAATCCTCAGCTTGACGCTTGAGAATAAGGAAGTATCTTAAAGCATACTAGAAGCTTCCATATCGTACGGAGGTACCTTGTAGATAATTGCATTTATCTTGTCATAGCGCGGGAAATTATAGCGAAGAAAATTGCAGTTCTAAGTGGATTACGCCGCTGCGTCGAAGTCTGAAGCTTCAAGACACGCGACATACTTTCTTTCAACTTATTAGAGATATAATAATGAAAAAGATATGGTAATTAAGATTATTATTACAAGTATCCTCAAGAAATAATCTTCCAATTAGACAAATAGCATTTTAATATTTATAAAAAAAGTTACATTTGTTGAAGAATTTTGTTGGAATATATTCTGGTTTTGTAATTAATTATGTATTTTTGATTAATACAACTACTTTTGTAATAATATCATACTTTTCTGATATTATCATCTCAGATCATCTCAAAAACTAAATTAAAAATTAATATAATCAATTTATTTTATTTGCTTCGCTTTTATATTTTTATTTCAAGATGTAAGAA